AAAAAAAATTGTAGTTTCTCATTTAGTGAATACCAAAACTCAACCCAAAAAAATCAGAACTTAAAACTTAAAAATAACTGTCTAAAACACCCTTTTCTATTTTAATTATTATTTCTAATAAAAGAATAGAGAAAAGAAACCCATTAAGAAAAAAATAAATTTGACCCTATTTTTGAAATGATTTTTCATCTTAAAATTATCCATTTAAGATTCACCATTGCTTCCAAGAACCTTTTGAAACAACTTTCCATCAGAGTTATCAGATTTTTACTATTCACCCATTTGGTATCAACCCAAACTTTCCTTGATACCTTTTTCAAGATAAAAAGAATCTCAACAAAAGAAAGAAAAAGAAAAGAAAATGAAAACAAAACCAATTTTTTGAATGTACAAAAAAGATAAAATGAATACGATCACATTCATCACATTGTCTCCAAATGAAAGAGAAAAGAAGATCTTATTTGATCTTGCTATTTCTTCACTTTTCAAGGAACCATTGTAACTCATTAAAGCAAATTTGGTTGATACTTGTTTTCGAAGCAAACACTTCTTGGGTGTTTTACTTTCTTTGAATTTTACAACCCCTTTCTCCAATGTTAATTAATCTCATCTCTTGAATATTAACGGTTTTCAAAAATGTTCTTGTTCATTCAACATAAAAATAAAAATATGGAATCATTTTGAAAGAAAAATTGCAAAAAAATGAATTCAACTTTGGGAAATTTTCATTAAAAGCAGATTGTTTCTTGATATTAAATATTCAATAATAACTTTTAAATGATATTGGGTTCAGAATATTTGGTTAACGCAACACATATACCAATAATTTAGAAAATACTAATGATGACCCTATTTTTGAAATTTAGCTTATATATATATATATATATATATATATTAATAAATTCAGATATAGTGTAATTATTTGTTTTTTGAAATACAAATGAAAACGGAAAATAATAATAATAATAAAAATTACCCCTAATTTTAAATTTTGGTTTTAATAATATAAATCTTAAAATATAATCCATATTTTTTCATTATCATCATTTAAAACATTTTCTGAACTCAATCAGGGTTTTAAAAATCACCCTTAAAATTTTAAATATTTCACAAATAAGTTAAGCATAAAATGATAGATACAGAATTTCTCTACCCCCTCCCTTTTTTTCTTTTTTTTAATTTTTCTTTTTCTTTTTGATTTGGGCAAATAGTTCCCTTTCACTGGGTGGGTAAGTTTAATTTGAGTAAGAGTCAAATAAAACAATCAAAATTTTCACTTTTCACCTGTTTTTTAAATTATATCTTAAAATATATTGTTTATTTAGTTGTATTTTGAATCGATTATTATTTTATAAAGAATCTTCTTATCAGCAATTTATTATCTTTTTTTCTAAAATTGAATAAAATGCCTTGATAGAATTTCAAGTTAGAAACAAGAATTAAACTATTTGAAATTTCTTAAAATAGATAAGACAATTCAATATAAAAATGTATTGTGACATTTTATTTTACTTGAAAAAAATGAAAAATTTTTTTTCAATTGGTGCTGAAATACTAAAAAAAACTCGAAAAAACCAAAGTAAAAAAAAATATTTTATAGTCACCCTGAAAAAAGTTAAAATGTGAAAGTTGAAAAAAGTTTTTTTCTTGATCTAGTTTAGAATTGAAAAAGTTAAAAATTTTGGCTTTAAGGTGGTAACTTCTATTAAGTACTATATTTATATGTCCGAATCGTGAAATAACGTATAAAAACACCCATGAAAGATTTTTTTAATCCAAGTAATATTTACACATCACGATCACGAAAAAATTTTTCCAAAAAAAAATTAATTATTTGCAAATTTTACCTTTTTGATAATTTCAAATAAAAATAAACACTTTTGGTTAATAAAAGATCTTTGATCAAAAAATATGTTTCAAGATATTTTACAATTTAAGTTGGAAAATCCAATTTTCCATGGTTCTAGTAATATTTTTTTTTCACTTTAATAGTAAAAAATTTGAAAACTTTTTTCTTCAAAGATAAGATGTCATTTTATTATATTTTAAAAGTATTTTAAATCTAAGGAATATTTTTCAAATAGGGAATCTATCATTTTGACAATTAAAGAATTATTTTTTCTTTTAAATTGGAAAATATAATTTTTCTTTGATTTTCTGTTAGGTTTTTTTTAATTTTTGAAATAAATGAAAATTGAATAAATTTTCGGTTTATTCCAAAAGGTAAAAAAAAACACCGTTAGGTTTTCCAGGATTAAAACGAATAATTAAAATCAAATAGATTTTATTTTATTCTTTTAAATTATGGAAAACCTAGGCACTTGAGGAACACTTTCTTGAGTTTTCTTTTTATTAGGAAAATCGATAGATTTACTAATAAAGCAGAAAACCTCAAGAAAAGCTATTTACTTGACGACACTCTACGAAACTTGATAGGTACTCTCAATATTTATCATCAGCTATTTTTTTCCGGATTTGAGTTTTTTTTTTAGATGAGTAAAGTGTTTTCAAAACTATTAGTTATTATCTCTTGAAAAAAATATCCTAAAGTTGAATTTAAAGAAAATTAATTGTCATATCCATTTAAAATTTTTTACCCAAAAATCGACCCTTTTTCTCGAACTAGAGACTTTTAAAAATCTTAGTTATATTAATAACAATAAATACAATACCCTCAAGATTTTTAATAACTGAAATGTTGATTATAATGTGGATAAGCTCAATTAATAAGGATGAAATGATAATTGAAATTGTAGTTTTGTCTAACTTTTTTTTTTCGCTTTTATTTTTTCATACTAGTGATTGGGAATTTCTTTTAGAAAAAATGGGATTTTTTCAGAATTTTAACAATTTTTACCTTGCTTGGTAATGCCAAAATTTGATTTTAAATAGTTTCAATTTTCCATTCCAACTTTCTGAACTCACAGCAATTCCTCTGAAAATTTCTGTAATTTTTTTTAACATTTGTTTTTACATGTTTGAAATGTTCATAAATTTGAAATAATACATGAAAATCACCCAAAAAGTTATTTTTTAGATTTGATTTTTTTTTATTATTTTCTTTTTTCTTTTTCATTAAAAAAGAAAGAAAGAAATATCGTAACAAGGTAAAGATGACAAAAAAAAAATTTTTTTTTTTCTTTTTATGGGTCTGTCCTTCATATGAAAAAGATGGATTAATATTTTATAACAAATTAAAAGAATTACATCTTAATGAAATAATTTTAAAATATGACAGTTTGAGACTATTTTCATCAATTAATAATAGTGAAATCTATTATTTTACACTTAAATTTCTGAAAGGAAATTTAATTATAAGGGCATCTCGAGTGTAAATTACACTTCTTCCTTAATAAAAAAATAAAAAAAAAATGTTTTTTTTTTTGATCAATTTCTTCAGTATGAAAATTCTTTTTGAGAAGTGAAAGTGAAATAACACAATAACACAACACTTTAAAGGATGGAAACGGAGTTCTTAACACTAAAATTATTATTTTATATAAAATTCATAAATTTTTGTTCGGATTAATTTAAGGGATCTATGTTCTAAACGATCCTTCAGAACACATGTTTACAAACACACCCTTCATTTTGGTTAACACAAATAGGATCTTTTGACAAAGTATCAAAATAAATTATATTTGTTAAATAAAATATTTTTCTGGTTGATATCTTTGGTTCTTGTAAATAAATATTTCGAAGATAGTGATAATTTGGGAGTAATATTGAATTAGAATGAAATTATCTCAATTTTTGGGTAATTAAGAAAAAAGTTCCAATTGTGGCATGAATGAAGTATGTGTGGATAAATTTCAACTTGTGTTTATTTTTAAAGAATCATTAGTGAATTTTTAAATTGGTATAAAAAAAATAAAAAGCCTAAAAATATCTTGTTTGGCAAATATAATTTATTTTGATCCTTTGTGAAAAGATCCTATTTGTCTTTACCAAAATGAAACGTGTGTTTGTTATGCATGTGTTTGGAAGAATTCATTTCAAATTTACCATTAAAACCATAGTTTTTGTTGTTGTCAAACAATTAGACGGGTAACTTTTACAGTAAGAATGTAGAATAAATACTTTACATTTATTTTGATTATATTGAAGCTTGAAGAAATGATATTTTTCTTGGATTTTTTGATAAAAATTTTTGTTTTATGAAAAATAATGGATATTTATTTGCTTCTACTATTTGTTTCAAAATAAATGGAACAAAATTTTCATTCAGCTTTCCACAAAAAGTTTCCAAACCAAGCCAACATTTCAACTTTTTAAATTTCTTTGAACAAGTCGAAATAATTAATTTCCCTTTTAAAAATTGTGAACTTGCGATGATTTATTTCTTAATATATTTTTTGGGAAAAGTTGAATCTAAATTTTGATCTTTTTCTTTTTCAATTAACAGTATTTCCAAAAGAATACACACAAACCTCAAATATTTTGATTTGGCCAAGAGACTTGACAAGTTTTTTGAAATAATCAAAAAAAATTGATAACAAATTAATGAAAATTTTTTTTTTTTTCAATCTTCAGGATAGTTTCAGATTGTTTTACTATTTGTTGCAAAATAAATGAAACAAAAATTTCATTCAGTTTTCCAAAAAAAGATTTTATATAGACTTTATTATTTTAAATTTTTAATTTTGAAAAGAAGCCTAAATTATAATTTTCCCTATTAGAATTGGGATTTTGACCATTTATTTTGATTCTTGGTATGTGATTTTATGTTGGAAAGCTGAATGAAAATATTGATCTTTTTATTTTGCAATTAACAGTATTAAGAAACAAAATAATATCTGAAGAAAACAACACCCTACAAATTTTTCCAGATAAAACAAAAAAAAAAAAAATTATTTACTTTTTTCTCCTTCTGAAAATTGAAAAAAAAAGAAATTTTCTATTGATCAGATCGTGACATTTCCGAACAACAACAAGTTAAGTTGTTGAAGAACTATTACTTTGCTTTGTGTAGATTAAAAAAAAATAGAAAAAAAGAGGTTTGCACCTTGAAGGACTCGAACCTTCGACCTTCTCATTACAAGTGAGATGCTACTACCACTGAGCTAAAGATGCTTTTACATCGAATAAAGAGAAAAAAATATATTTGGTAAATATGAACTCAGTGAAATATCAAATTTAACTGTTAAATTAAAAATTTTTTCAACAAATTCAGTGTATTTAAACCCACTTTATGAGAACCAAATAACTCAAAATCGTAAAATATAGTTCACAATTACTCTATTCAACAATATCAAATAAATCGAAATAACCCAAAAAGCAAAACACAAAACAATACTTTAATGAATACTGTTTTCATAATTATTAACAAGATCTTTTAAATTAGCAGATTACCGAATTTAAATATAATCCAAAGTTTCCATCTTCAGGTTCTCAATTTGAAATAAAAAGAGAACAAATAACCTAATGAATAATTGGAATTTTTAAATTGAGGAAATATTCGACTTTTTTAAATTAATTTTTTAATCTCTCTAAAAAGATAACAAAACAATCTCAGAAAAACACCACAGTGAGATCACTAATGATCAAGTGAGAACGAAATAATTAGATGACAATACTTCAAGAGGGAAAAATTATAACAGTCAGTATTACAGTGATCAAATAAACACAACCCAAATATGTCCTTAATAAAATTAAGCACTATTTTTTTCTGATTAATATTTTTCGAAATTAAGTTCATAACTAAATTCCATTAAACACTGTGATAATTTTTTTTAGAATAAAAACACTCTCAACTTTTGAATATCGAAAATATTTTTTGGAATTAATGTGCACTTTTTTATTTTTTTTTGAAAAATTGGGGTTGAGAAAATTTTGAAATCAAAGAATAAGTTAATATATTAAATTAGAATGGTTTTCCAGAGAGTTTATCTTTTTAGTTGGACTTTTTTTTAATTTTACCATTTAAAACCAAAAAAAAAACAGTTGAAGATCAAATTAGTGCCTTTTGTGAAAAGAAAATTCCCATAATTTAGAATTTGTTTTTGTAAATGGGTTTAAACAAGATAGTTTATCTAAAAATATACATAATTTAAAGTTTGAATTCAATGATTTTGGCAAAACATGTTTTCAAGAAAAAGTTAAATTCAAACTTTATTTATTTTTATTTTATCATTTAGTTTTTTTAATTGTATTAATTGAAAGTATTTGATCAGTTTTTCATTTTTAGTGTTTTTTGGATCATAGGGACATATATATATATATATAAATATATATATATATATATATATATTTCACCGTTAGTACAATTTTTCTTTTTAAAATAGTAATTAGACTTATAAAATCAAGTTTTTTCAAATTTTTTACAGATTTTTTTGTTTCATTCCTTCCTTAATTTTTTTATTTTGTTATTTTTGTATTTTTTGAAAAATTCTCGAATTCTTTTGAAATGATAACTTTTTATTTCTAGGATGTGAAAAAATACTAACAAAAAAACTTGAAAAAACGAAAAAAGTAAACAATTATATATAAATAGGAAATAATTGTTTGAATTAGCTTTGAAAACAATATGATTTCGCGATTTCTAATTTAAATTAGAGGTTTTATCTTAAGAACCATGAAAAAAAATTAATTTTCTATTTTAAAAAAACCATAACCATACAAAGTGTCTTTCCCATTTAAAACTATTGTAAATTGTAAACTATTTAAACCCTGTGAAAAAGAATTATTTTTATTTATTTATTTATTTATAGAAAGGAGTAATTAAAGAAAAATCATCAAAAATAAAAAAAGAGAAGAAGAAAAATAATATATATATATATATATATATATATATATATAAGGTATTTCCAAAAAAGTGGGGCATTTTTTTTTTTACATTTCATAAAAAATAATCTTTTTTAGTGATGGTAATCATTAATCAATAATACCAAATTAAGTTTAATATTTATACCGATTGAATCAACCACTTAAATATTTAATTCAAAGCATGTTAGTTGAAATATTCCCAAAAAATGAAAAAAAAAATAGATCTTTTTTTGGCTAAAACAATGTACGACCAATTTCAATAAAAAACCGGAAATATGGAATGGGAACAAATGATTTTTTAAACACGAAAACGCAGTTATATGTTTTTAATTATATTGTAAATTTTGTTGAGATTATACAAGTTATGAAAATATTTTTTTCGATCAAAAAGAAAATAATAAACACCAATTTTCACCATAAAAAAATATCAGATAAAATCGAGATCATAAATTTTAATATATTTTATTTCTGCAAAACAATACTAAGAAACAAATTGAATTATTATAAAGAATCTATAAATGGTGGTTAATGATTTTGGATATTTTAATCCTATTTTGAAGAATGGGTTACATAAATATATTTTAAAATAAATTTGCCCCACTTTATTGGAAATAGCTTATATATATAAATTTATTATTCTCATGAAAAATTAGAAACTATCCACGTCCTGAATACGGAGGAGCAAAAACTCAATAGAACGATTATCTATTATCGAGAAAAATTCCACATTCTGTGATTAATAAATTGGTATTCCACGACTATCGAAGAGTGGGAGCACTGGGTGCCCAAAATTATATATTTTTTATTATTTAAAAAATTTTTTGTTTTCACTTTATTTTTATTATTTTTTCTTTATTACCTTAAGTTTTCTAACCATAAGAGCCTTGATAAAAAATTCCCGAAATACGCATTAAATTTCATAATTTTGATTAGTCATGTTGAAGAGTTTCTGTGTATTTTTTCTAAGAATAACTTTTTCATATAATTTCTTATCTAGAATTTTTGATAATTTTTTTTTTCCATTTGATTCTGATAAATTTATACCTTTCACAATACCAAATGAAGTGATTTATATTTTCATAATAATGAGTACAATAATCACATTTTTTACCTTTTTCTTTTTTTATATATGTGTTATATTCTGATTTATTTTTCAAAAACATATGAGTATATATTTAATCCATATATAAAGGTTCTAAATATGAGAAATGTAGTACTTGATTTAAATTTTAGATAATTTTTAATTTTAAAATTAAATTTTTCATTTTTGATAATTTTGTAGTATTCTTTTATTTTCCAACTTTGATTGTTTTTCAAATTATTTAGATATACATTTTTTATCTTTTTTAAAAAAACATTAAAAGACTCTGTTTTCCAAATATTTATTTCTTTATTGGGTTTATAATCAAATTTAATAAATTTTATAAGTTCTTTATATTCTGTTTTTTGAAGTTTTTGAGTTAATTTCCATTTTCATAAGTTTATAATAGTTTTAATATGTGGTAAGTTGATTTCGTTTCGATACGCTAAGACAGGAGTAGATCTTTGAATTTTAAATATCTTTGTAATATGAAGATTAATTAGTATATCAATTTCTTCATATTCCTTTTTAGTGAAGTTAAATAATTCTAAGCCAAATAGGAGTTGAATTAAGTCTATTGCTTTATAAAGAATAACTTTGAGATAATTTGATAATTCATTCGACTTGAAGATATATTGGTATTTCCAAAGGGTACAATTAAATTTCATTTTATTATTAAATATATGGGATTTTTTTAAAAAATTTATACCCAAGTATTTACTTTTTCTCATTTTATTAGTGATTATTGTTTTACTAGTATTAACTTTTAACTCAAAGTTTTCTATTATTTTATATATTTTTTTTAGTTTTTTTTTTATAATTTGATGATTTTAGTATTATTATCATATCATCAGCAAACATTTGAACGTATTGGACCAACTTCTCTATTCTTAAGATTAAAAAATGACTAACAAATGCAAATAAAATAGGTGATAAAGGATCTCCCTGATAAATACCCTGTCCATTCCCTTTAAAAAAGAATTATTTTTTTTAAAAAAAAAATTACTAATTGGTGAAGAAAAGTGGTCAAAATTTAACTTTTTTACCAATTCTAAATTCGATCAGATTACATATTTTTTTGTTTTTTGATTACATATTTATATCAGAAAAAAACGAATTTTAAGCATATCTCACTCATGGAAAACACCATTAATGAAATAAAAAAGAAAATATTCATAACTGTGATATACTATATATCTCAGCACCCTATATTTGCCTTAACTTCATCAAGTTTAAAAGAAAAGATTTAAAATGATATTAATGTCCTAATGTATTTTTTTTTCGTATTTTTTTTTAATCCAGATTTTAATTAATAGAAAAAATCAAAATATTTCAAAAAAAAAGTAATTATGTTCTTGTATTGTTTTTTTATTGATATTAAAAAAAAAACTATTTTTTATTGATTTTTACATTTTTTTCAAAAAGATTTATTTTTTTTTTCAATTATTAGAATACAAAATTGTATTACAATAATAGTAATTCCAAACTAAATACATTGATTTATTAATAATTTCCATCAAATATAGATGTTAATTTTATGATAAAACAAATAAATAACAAAAAAAAATTTACTGACAAATTTTAATTTTTTTTCAAGATAAAAATTTGAAAATTATCAAATCAAAAGAAAAATGAAATTAGACGAGATTTTTATTTTTATTGACTTAATCTTTCCCAAAATCTGATTATAATATCAATTTTTCCCGAATTTCTATATTATATATTTAAATTAATTAAATTGGGTTTATTTTTGTTGATGATAAAAAATATATTTTATAAAAATTTTAAACAAATTATTATTTATTCATAAACAAGTTAAATAAAAATTTTTAGGTTAACTCTTTTTTTGGGCTCACCTTTAAAAAGACAACTTTTCAAATGATTACTATTTATTGTAAAATAAAAATATCAATGGTTTCATTTGATTTACCAAAAATACTCATTTCAAGAATTATAGCACATCATCAAAAGTCCCAATTCTAAAAAAAAATAAGTAATAATTTGAGCTGGTTTAAAGAATCACTGTTAATTGCAAAATAAAAAGATCAAAAATTTCATTCAAATTTCTTAAAATAAAAAAATCAAAAAAACATGCCAAGAATCAAAACAACAAATCATCAAAGTTCCCAATTATATATCAAGCAAATTAATAATTTATGGTGATTTTAATAAATTAAAAAAATTGAAATTTTAAATGTGTGGTGATTTTTTTTCAAAAGCTGAAAGA